GTTCAAGACCAGCCTGGGCAGGATGACAAGACCCTGTCACTACAAAAAAAAATTAAAAATTAGCTGGGATATGGTGGCATGTTGCCTCTAGTCTCAGCTACTCAGAGGTGAGGGACAGGGGACTGGAGGTGAGAGAATCGTTTGAGGCTGTAGTGAGCCATCATCAGGTATTGCACTACAGCCTGGCAACAAAGAGAGACCCTGTCTCAAAAAAAAAAAATCACCTGGCAGTGCTTGCTAATTCAACTTTCTCTTCACCAGAGGGCACTTGTTACACCAGTTATTAAGGAATATAATACCTGCTATTCTGTTGCAATTGCCGTCTTCTGCTTGAAATACAAAATAGAAATGTTTTAGGCCATTCCGCTATTCAAATCCATGTGGTTTTTTTTTTTTGTTTTTGGTTTGAGATGGAGTCTTGCTCTGTCGCCAGGCTGGAGTGCAGTGGCACAATGTCCGGCTCACTACAACCTCTGCCTCCCGGGTTCAAGCAATTCCCCTACCTCAGCTCCTGAGTTAGTTGCGGCTACAGGCGTGCGCCACCACGCCCAGCTAATTTTTTGGCATTTTAGTGACACATAGGTTTTCACCATGTTGGCCAGGATGGTCTCGATCTCCTGACCTCATGAGCCACCCACCTTGCCTCCTTAAAGTGCTGTCATTACAGGCCTCAGCCACCATGCCAGCCTCAATCCATGATTTTTTCTTCAAGTGAACAGACTTTTTTTTTTTTTTTTTTTTTTGAGACTGATCTCCACTCTTGTCCCCCAGGCTGGAGTGCAGTGTTGCGATCTTGGGTCACTACAACCTCTGCTCCCAGGTTCAAGCAATTCTCCTGCCTCAGCCTCCTGAGTAGCTGGATTACAGGCATGTGCCACGAATGGCCAGCTAATTTTTGTATTTTTAGTAGAAACGGGGTTTCACCCTATGGTAAGGGTTGGTCTCCAAACTCCTGACCTCAGGTGATCCCACCTGCTGCTGCCTACCAAAGTGCTGGGATTTACAGGCGTAAGCTACTGCACCCGGCCAAATAGACTAATCTTATAGAGGGATCAATACGTTATGGCTGTTCTTTTGCTCCTGTATTTTGCCCACTGTTCCTTATTTAAATGACTGTCACCATGCCAGTTGGACAGGGATAAAAGCAGAGACATCTATGAATCAATTCGCTTGATACTGATCAGTGTTAAACATGCGTGTTAAAGGTAAAAGTGAATGTTGAATTATCTTAGTTTAACTTCATGTGGAATTTTTTTTTTTTTTTTTTTTTTTTTTTTTTTGGAGACAGGCTCTCACTGTGTTATCCAGGCTGGAGTGCAGTGGTACAGTTAACTCACTGCAGCCTTGAACTATGAATTCAAGTGATCCTTCCACCTCAGCCTCCTGAGTAGGTAGGACTACAGGTGTGTGTCACCACACATGGCTTGTTTTTTCATTTCTTTGTAGAGATAGGATCTCATTACGTTGCCCAGGCTGGTCTCCAACTCCTGACCTCAGCAATCCTCCTGCCTCAGCCTCCTAAAGTGCTGGAATCACAGGTGTGAGCCACTGCATCTGGCCCCATGTGGACTCTTCATAACCTTGACTAGTTACAAAGTGGCATTATTGTGGTCATTAGTGTCTCCAGGGATCTGTAAAGGAGGCCACCCTAATTCGTGTGGTAGGCCAATTGGTCATAGCAGTCAGGACAGCCATGTTTGTCTTTCCTTTAAAACAATCAGGAAAATGGACAAGCAGTTGATGTGACTGACTTGAGTAATCCTAGCCTTCTTGGATATAATCAGAAGACTTGAAGCCAATCCCCAGAGAAAAGAGTAACTGTGATTTAAATCCTAGGTTGAAACAGGAATCAGGTGGTCAGTTTTCCCTGTATAAAAATCTTGTTTGATAACTTCAAATGTATCTTTCATAAACTGAGTAGTAACTCTAACAGGTGACATTTCTGTGACAAATTTAGTTACAAACTTCTTAAGCTAATATAAGGATACCTGTTTATGTTGGAGAAGGTAAAATTGTGGTATGAAAAGTCATTGGGAGGACAAGGTGGGAGGACGAATTGAGCCCAGGAGTTCACTACCAGACTGGGCAACATAGTGAGACTCCATCTCTTTAAAAAAAAAAAAAAGCCAGGGGTGGTGGTGTGCACCTGTGGTCCCAGATACTCAAGAGGCTAAGGTGGGAGGATCACTTGAGCTTGGGAAGTTGAGGCTGCAGTGAGCTATGGCTAATTTTTGTATTTAGGTATAATGGGATTTCTCCATTGTTAGGCTGGGTTTCAACTCCTGACTCCAGTATCCGCCTGCC